TTTTCTGGGTGTGGTCGTCCTGCTGAGACATGTATGTTTTTTGCAGATATCAGATAATGGTTCTCGAGCTCCTTCACCAAGCGAGTAAGAGGCAGATTACTAACCGATCACAGCTTGTGGAAGAATCCTTGGATTGCCAGTATTTAGAAATACATGCTCCTAACGTCATTGACCTTACCCAGAAAAAAGAGTATGCTTCTCAGGCGGCAGTTTGGGGAATTGAGGTTTGTAATTTCGTGTGACACTGTTTTCTTTTATAACAACTGAAACTTGCTTTCTGGATAATAAATTGTTAGGCTTTCTAGGGTTTGCCAGAATTGGGTGAAATATACCCGTTGGGAGGCGCAGCAGACAGACTAGGTTTGGTTGATCCAGAAACAGGTGAATGCCTTCCTGCAGCGATGCTTAATTATTGTGGACGGACTTTGTTGGAGGGCCTTATAAGAGATCTTCAGGTACAGGGTGACACTTACAAGTATGGAAGTAAAAGATCCAATTTTTAATTTTCTGTTTTGGGTGCTGAAACAGTGCGTTTGTCAATGTCTTTTTACTAAGGCTGTATGTTCATCCTTTGTGCAATCGTTATAGGCTAGAGAGTTCCTCTACTTCAAACTTTATGGGGAGCAATGTATCACACCTGTTGCGATTATGACAAGTCCTGCGAAGAACAACCATGAACATGTAACTTCTCTTTGTAAAAGATTCAGATGGTTCGGAAGAGGTCAATCTAATTTCCGAGTCTTTGAACAGGTACAAGAAGAGTGTATTTCTGTGTGATTTCTGTTCACTTTCATTTCAGGGACAGCTTACTCATCGTTAAAAATCTTGATTTATGATGTCTAGCCTCTCGTCCCAGCTGTCAGTGCTGAGGACGGTCAATGGATAATATCAGAGCCATTTGTGCCGGTTAGCAAACCTGGTGGCCATGGAGTCATTTGGAAATTGGCTCATGACAAAGGCGTCTTTAAGTGGTTTTATGCACGTGGAAGAAAAGGAGCAACTATCCGACAAGTTGGGTTAGCTACTTGAAACCTTTTTTAGCATCGTTTTTTTTAGATAGGAGTATGTCTAGATACAAATACATGGTTTCGGTATTAAGTTGTGATAATATGCAGTAATGTCGTGGCTGCCACAGATCTGACCCTCTTGGCACTGGCTGGGATTGGTTTACAGTATCAAAAGGTATGCCTCATGCTCTGCACCGAGTTAATTGATTTTTCGACTATGATTCTTCCATTAACTGTTGACTGCAATCTCGTACTGAGTCGAAGACGAGACCCTGTATCATGCACTGAGTTCCTTGAAAGCATATGATGGATATGTTCTTTTAGGATTCGAAGAATTAAAGTCTATGCTCCATTATATGCCCAATTCTTATTAGCTTTTTGAGAGTTACCTATCCACTTTGGGCATGACCATGCTTTCTTAAAACCACATACCTTTAAGAACTTATGTCAGCCCTATGCATGGATTGACATTTCTTAATGTAATTACAAACCCCTTTTACCACTGAAGAAAAAGGGTGAAATAATACCTTTATTTTTCAATGTCTATGTCAGAAACTTGGTTTCGCATCTTGTGAAAGGAATTCTGGGGCAACGGAAGGAATTAATGTGTTGGTAGAGAAGAAGAATTCCGACGGGAAATGGAAATATGGTATATCATGCATTGAGTATACGGAGTTTGATAAATTCGGAATCTCCAGCAAACCATTTTCTTCAAATGGGTATCATTTCTTTGTTCCTTGAGTTCATTGATTCGAAAAATGCATTTGTTTTTGACAAATATTTCCCTGTATTCCTCTTTCAGATTAGAGCATTGACACCTTCATACTAAGTTCTCTTGTAGTACAGTATTTTCTGTAGTGCAAGTCCTTAAGCTCGGAATCTCACAATTTTCTGACATGTCTATTTTTGTTCTCTTCTTTCTCAAGTTCGCAGGCTAATTTCCCCGCAAATACAAACATTCTATATGTGGACTTGCCTTCTGCCGAGTTAATTGGATCAAGCAGTAATGCAAAAAGTTTGCCAAATATGGTTCTTAATACAAAGAAGTGGATTGAGTATGTCGATCAGTATGGAGATTACCACAAGTAATTTGACCGCTCTGCTCTTTCCTTGTTGCACCATTCTATCTCATAAATCTTGCTCTGATGTTTTGCTTCTGGTAGATAGATGCCTTTGTTGGATTGAGATCACTGCCTAGAGCTTTCTTTACTCGACCAATTCCCTTTATGGAGTCTTCACCTGCATTTGTTGCAATTTCTGCTTTGTTTGAATCCATATCCTTACTCTTTTCTGTTGCAGAGTTTCTGGGGGTAGACTGGAATGTACGATGCAAAATATAGCGGATCACTTTTCTAATACGTTTCCATCTAGATGTATTGACAGTATAGAATTAGAAGGTGGGAGTTATACGAATGTTACTTAGTTGGTTTTACTTTTGCCTCGAGGTTGTGATAATTATGGTATTGATACCATTTTGGCAGACAAGCTGGATACTTTTATAGTTCACAATGAAAGACGCAGGGTTACATCGTCCGCCAAGAAGAAGAGAAAGCAAGCAAGTGGTGAATTACACCAGGTTATCTTTCTTTTCTGTCTAGTGGTGGGGCATTTTTACAAGCCCTTCGGGAGATTTCTCTTTAAAGTTTCAAGCTTTTGCCTCAAATCGTAACGGTGGATCTTGATTATCAACTACAATTCGTACAAAGATCTGCTTCTCACCTGAATTTTGATCGGTCTTACAGACACCAGATGGTGCGCTGTTGGATGTACTCCGGAATGCGTATGACCTCCTTACGCAATGTGATATTGAACTCCCCAAGGTTAGCCTGTCTTTTACGTTTGATTTTAGCTGCGGTCCATGGTTCTTAGTTTCGTTAACGGAAAATTGAAGTGAATAGGTTTATGTTTTCTTTTTTTTTTTTTAAGATCGAAGCTAACGATAAATATGTGGAATCCCCGCCTCCTTATCTTATCTTTCTACATCCTGCTCTCGGCCCTCTTTGGGAAGTTATGAGACAGAAAGTGAGTCAATGATCTCTCCTTACTGTTTCTTGCGAATTTATTACCTTTTTAACACACGTTCGAAAGTATAAGACAATGTTTTCTTCTTAACCTTTGCCACAGTTTAGCAGAGGGTCAATCTCAAAATGCTCGGAATTGCAACTAGAAGTTGCAGAGTTCTGGTGGAACAATGTTCAGGTAGTTCATATTCCAACTACAAGAATTTGATTAGACATGTTCATATTCGAATCGTATTCTGATTTATGTTTTTCTGTGAGATTAGGTTGATGGTAGCCTGATCGTCATGGCGGAAAATGCAATGGGCTCAACAAGGATCAATGAAAATGGTGAACCAATATTACATTATGGACATAGGTAAAACCACACATTCTCGATTTTATTGTACGATATTTGCTGCATTCAACGTGATTTGTTTGGTGTTTGTTGTTTTTGTAGGTGCGGGAAGTGTAAGTTGCAAAACGTCGAGATACTCAACAGAGGGATCGACTGGAACTGCAAAACAAACGTGTATTGGAAACATCATGTGCATCGGCTCGAGACTTGTAAAATCGTATTGCATGGAAACGCGGAATTTGAGGCCAGCAATGTAACAATACAGGTACGAGATACACTAACCACACTTGAAAAAAAAGGATTGAGGTAGTGTCGGAAACCTAGATAATGCATAAGGGTGGCCTGTTTGGGTTTCGAGTTTGGCTCGGTTATTTTGGTTTTAGAAAAACTATGACCATTTATTTTTGTTTATACTGAATTCAGTACGATTCAATTTGGTTTCGGTTTTTATTGATGAAAATACTCACTTTTTTTAAAAACAATTGTTCGGCTTTTCGGTTATATTGTTGTTGGGTTTATTCGTGTTTAGATAGATGATAATCATTCGATTTTTATATCGGATTATGTTCGGTTACGGTTATGTGTCATACCAGTTCAGTTGTTTGGTCACTAACCAAATTGGCCGCCCGTATGATAATCTTCACGAATCAAATCTTGGGTTTTATTTGGTTTCCAATGATGCACAGGGAGATCAAGTTTTCGAAGTACCCGATGGCCACAGACTGAAGATAACACCGGCAAATTCAGGTTCATATCGAAAGCCCGAGAGTAACAGATAGATACATAGGGAGTGTGTGCATAGTTTTTCCTCATGATGATAACGGTGATCAGGGGGAGTGGACATGAAGCTGGAGCCCATCAAAGAAGAGTTGATGAGCAGTGGGACATGGGGTTGGAAATACAAGCTGCAAGGAACCCACATCCAGCTTCAACAACAACTAGCAGCAGAGGCCTCTTGAACCTCCCAATTGAATCCGTGCTACCATTTGTGACAGTGCCGGGGTTTTAGATAGTTCCTGTAACATATGATATATATATATATATATATATGCTCTCTTCTCTTGTAAATTGGTCATGTTTGTTAGACAGTGCACTGCCCTCGTTTTAAGAAAAAAAAACTAGAGATTGTAATATGCAAGTTACCAAGACAAAAAAAAAAAGCTGAATGCGATGTGCAAGTTAGACTTTTGAATTTTAGTTTTTGGTTTTTGATTTTGTAGTATTTATAAATCTGAAAATTAGAGTTTTTGATTTTTAGTTGAATATTTTAAGAAAAATTTAATTTATAAAATCTTAATTTTCAATTTTTGTGTTTTGGTTTTGAATTCTAAAGTTGGATTAATATGGGCCTTCCAAACTCATAGATTTTGAGGGAAGCCCAAATCTTTCTCGGCCTCATGCTTTTCCCCTAGGGTTTCCGAGAGAGAGATACATATGCTGCTTACGGCCGACTTCATTCCTCTCGTGTGCTCCCGTCGTCGTGAAATCGTAGGCTAGGGTTTTCCTGAACAAGAGTGACGTAATCGGTCTTTCTCCGCCATGAGAGCCAAGGTAACAACGATCTTCTGACCTCCGCCGCTTCGTTGTTCGATTCGTTCATATCTGTCCGATCGATTAGTTTATTTCGACATGAAAGCGGCTCTGTTTGAATGTTTTCGCTTTCAGTGGAAGAAGAAGCGTATGAGGAGGCTGAAGAGGAAAAGAAGAAAGATGAGACAGAGATCCAAGTAGAACCTTGAAACCGCTTCTTCGCTTTCCTCCTGTTTCCCCGTCGGTTCTTGTCTGATCTTATCTTGTTCTTAGATTCTCTGGAAATCCCAAGTTTCAGTTATCCGAACTCATGTGTTTCCAATATTCCGGGATACATTTTTGTTGGATGATCTCAAATCAATACTCTATGTTCGGATTCGTTTCGCCTTTTCAAACGAATCTTCGTTTACATGTGCTTTGAATGTCGCAACTCTTCCCTCTCAGAATGATACTCATGGTCCAATCGATCCTGATATCACTTGAATTCGGGTGTTTGACTATCTTCATTGAAATGCCTTATTCGTTTGGATATTGATGTCATATTTAAATCATTTGTTTGTTCATACAATGATCGTATACTACTGGTACTGGTGTCAAGTATAATCGGATTTCTTTGAATTTGGTTGGGGATTTTTCATCTCCTGCCCATTCAGGGTGCTTCCAAGCTCTCTTTGGAATGACAATTCTTGTTCGACCTTACCTTGTACCTGTTAGTTGGTATCTTAAGTTGTAGGATCCTTATGAACAGATATCAAATTGTAACTTTGGTATCCATATATATATATATATGGGTGAGCGTTTTGGAATCTGATACAAAACACCCATCCCTGTACATGCATCTATTGAACTAACTGACGCAAGTAAAGCTCTACCCGGTTGAGGAATCCGATCAAACTTGTTTCAAATCTGACTAATATTCATTAAAGTGAATAGCGCCGAGCTTCCAGACAAGGTAAGTAGTGGCAAACATAGCAGTGCTTATGAGCACAAAGGAAACCGCAATGATTAGAATTTCATTGCCTCCTGGGAACTGGAAGGTAAAGCCTTGGGGCAGCCCCCTCTTGCTATCATCAAACAAGTTGGTGGGTGCTTCCGGGAGCCCTGGTTTCTTCTTCTCTTTCTTGTCGCTCTCCTTCATCGCATCCAACAGTTTTCTTCCCATCTCGGGTTTCGACGATTGTTTTGGTGCCGTCTCGGTGTATCGGCTAAGGACCCGAGCTGCTCTTAGCCGCTCCCGTGCCGTCAAAGGAGCTCTCTTGCTGGCGGTCTGCATCTCACTAGAGGAAGCTGACCCATTTCCTGGCTCTCTGGTTTCAGACAGCGATGGAGTTTCACCAACATCATCATCATCAAGGGCTTTACAAGATACGACCAATCTTCTTTTGTCGGAAATCAATCCCCTTGAACCATTTATGTAAGAGATGGATTCAAAAGGCGTGGCCTTTGGTGGTGGAACTTTGACCAATGATCTTAGAACAGGATGATATCTGGTATGAAGCTTTGAAAACCAAAGGGGAAGATATTGTCAGACCATAATCGTATCTAACCCACAGATTACTCAAACGATATAAACAGTCTCCTCTCCTCATTGAACCCTACTCTTATTGGAATTTAAACCCTAGACATTGGACACTTAACAAAATGCAGAACCCGTCAATAATGATTCAAACCCAAACTAGTGCAAAGTACAGTACTTTTTTTCTGGGTATATCTCGAATTGGATTTCCCATTTTCCCCTCCATAGCATTCAACGTGTGTAACCCATGAAAGTTTTGAACATAAATATGCCATCGTCAAATCAAAAATGGAGAAAAATTCAACTGTACGACAAATCGAAACAGCCAAGGGAGGGGGAAATTCACCGGAGAAGTGAAACCGGCGCCGGCGTTCAGAGCGACGGCCATTGATGTGATCGTAGAAGCTCAAGAGGAAGACATACGAGCAAGCAGAAGGCACAGAGCTCAAGGTGAAGGTCCTATGTCTGTGTGTGGCAACGAAGATTCAGAGGCTCTTCATCCTTTTTTTTTCTCCCCACTCTTGCCGCCCACAAGGCCCACTCTCTCTCCTAATGAGCGTGCGCGCACGCGATCTGAGCACATCCCAGACACCTTGTCGTTTCACGATTTGAGATACGGAATGCTCGTCGTTTATCCAGCCGTCACTGTTCAGTTTGATCATTTGAATTCGGCCAACACTGTCGGAATCGGATGCAAGAGTTGAATCTCAGTCGTCAAACAGATCTCTCCCTCCCATCCAAATACGTTTTCGAATACAAATCCCAATACCTTAAATTTTAAGATAGTTAACCGTATCCAATCTAGCCTAATACAAATCGTAAATTTAACATGGTCCGAAACATTTACGTTAGTTCTGATTTTTCATTTTGTTTCCCTTTACAAAAATGGAGAACATGGTGTTATCATCAATCCATCGTTTTCGGTTTCGATTTGATTAATTTTGTATTCGTCTTTTTAGTTAATAGAAAATTATGTTTATTCGATTTTTGTCGAGTTCTTTTCAATTTTTTTTTAAAGTTTTTAGAAAAAAACAAAGATTGTTTTGCACATAAAATAATATGTATTTTCATCAAATAATTATTTGTTTTCTTTTTTTTTTATAACTCTAGGTAATTTCCGCGTCCATAGCACGTATTCAAATTACATATAAATTTTTAAAAAGATTTTATCAGTTTTAAAATTAAATATTTTTATTTTGTAATATATATTCTAAAATGAATTTTTTTAAACTATCAAATAATAAAATGTTACATTATTTTTGAAAAAGAATTGTTAATAGTTTTTGTTTTTATAATTTTGCGGGTTATAATATAGAATTAAAAATTAGAATATGGAACACCGAAATAATGTTTTTAGAATTTTACGACTCAAAATTTCACTTTTGTGAGATCTAAGGATAAATACAAATAACTCATTGTTTCTTCTTTCCGTTATTTGATCTCAACTCGTCTCCTTTGTCTCTCTATTCCTCGTCATTTTTTCACTTAGATAATTTTTTTTCTAATAATACAAAGTTTAAGAATTTTTATTAGAGACTAATCTTTGAAAGAGAGAGAAGAACTTTGAATGTATAGACATGGATATGACCGAAAACGATGTCGACTCGAAAATTATACAAAACGTTTCTCTATAAAAATTCTCATGTTCTCACCTTCCCCTAATGAGTTATGTTTGTGTTATACCACATCGCATGTAACTAAACCACCACCCCACCTTCATTCTATGGTAACTTTCATTTTTCTATACGATTTCTCCACAATATTCATATTTTTTTTTTGAATAATCATATTTACACATATACAAAAATATTAACTATTGTGATTATTATATATATATATATATATATATATATATATATATATTGTGATTTCAGTACAAACCGATTTAATTGGTTCTTATATAGGATTGCGTCATTATAGATATGTATATATATACATATATTATCACTTAGACTACTAATTATATTCTTATATGATTCGTAAATTTTTCTAATATATATAGGGAATATTTGTACTTAATGTGTATGAATATGTCATAATACTTAATCAATTTGATTTTAAAATTAAAGTATCAAGATATAACCAATTATAGAAATATAAAGAATATCCTGAAATAAAAGGAATGTACCTTTCCATTTTATTAGTCATACCTGTAATAATCGTGTCTACAACTATGTTTAGAGCTGGTTAATAAAGAATACATCAAACTTCGACATAATCATAGTAAAAATATAATTAATACATGTATTTATTATATAAAAAATATAAACATTTTTTTTAATATATCTAAACATCTCACCCTTTTATTATAAATAAAAAAGTTTCAAATTTACTAATTCAGTCTTGAACTTCATTATTAGAATAAAAGAATAAAGTTTTTTTTTAATATATCAATAAAAAAATATTGAATACTGATTTAAGTTAATATATTAAATATATATGAAATAAAATGGTCTTAAATTAATATAATATATATATAAATGGTTTAAACTAATTTAAAATTAGACACGTATTAGTTACTATATTTTGAAAATACTTTGTTTTTTTGCATGAATAAGAACATATATACACAAATACAAATATTTATATATAAACTTTTAGAAAAAAGGGTAAAAATTCTATAAAAAAAATTATAATAACGAAAAAATATAAAAACAACATAACTTCTACACATTTTATAAATAGATATATAAAACAGCGTGAATCGTGAAAAGAACATACATATACAAATACAAATATATCAATATTAAACTTTAGACAACAAAAAAAAACTAATATAAACAAAAAATATAATAAAAAGAAAAAATGTTTCCTTCTTCGCATTGCAGTTTTTTCTACAAATTCTTAACTCATCATACAAAGAAAAGACATAGAAAGTTGTTCCTTCCGATTTCAACCGACTACGCAGATTCTTATCTGTAAGATCCTTTCACTTACTGTCTAAGATATGGATTCATGTATTTTTTGTTCGTATTGATATTATAGAAATTTGAGAGAGTGTAGAAACTGTATACAAGATACGTCAACAGAAGAGATACTCTTGTGTGTTCCACTGTATGTATATTGCATTATTCTTAGTGTGTGTATCTGGTTTATAGAGAAATCATGATTTATTTACTTTGTAATCTAACCTTACTTTTTCACCTGTGAGCAAGTTGCCTTGATTATTGTGATAAATTTGGTCTTTTAGTTGACATTTGTTTTTTTCAATATGAAAATTGACAATATATAATGATATAAAGATAGAAATTCATCGGAAATATATAGAATTTATGGCGTTTTTAAAGATGTAATGTCTTGTTCACTTATCATTTGTACGAAATTCGCGAGAGTTCAGACTTTTGACAATCAAAAGACATTGCGAACGAATCGTCTCACATAATGGGGAGGATAACAAAAGTTGACTGCATTAAAATCGACTCTTGGTTCATTTGTTTCTCAGGTTGTACTCAACTCAACTAATTCTTATTTTTTACATTTTGTAATTCATAAATATTATTTGAATTATTCATTTTGGTAATTCTTCTATAGTATCATATTGCACGTTTATTTATTAATGTAGAGAGATCATGATTTATTTACTTTGTAACCTAACCTTACTTTGTAAATTATAAATATTATCATATCTGGTTTGTAAAGAGATAATGATTTATTTACTTTGTAATCTAACCTTACTTTTTCATCTGTGAACAAGTTGTATTGATTGTTGTGATAAATTTGGTCTTTTGGTTGATATATCAATATGAAAATTGACAATATATAATGATACAGAGATATAAATTCGTCGGAAATACATAGAATTTATGACGTTTTTAAAGATGTAATGTCTTGTGCACTTCTCATTTGCACGAGATTCACGAGAGTTCAAACTTTTGAAAATCAACAGACATGGCGAACGCATCGTCTCACATAATGGGGAGAATAACAAAGTTGACTGCATTAAAATCGACTCTTGGTTCATTTGTTTTTCAGGTTGCATTCAACTCAACTAATTCTAGTTTTTTTACATTTTGTAAATCATAAATATTATTTGAATTATTCATTTTGGTAATTCTTCTATAGTAGCATATTGCACGTTTATTTATTAATATTGTTTTCTCTATCTTGGATTGTTGATATTGAACCAAGATTGTAGCAAACACTTGAAGTTGGACTATAACGTTTTTGCGGAAGATGTTAAACAAAAAGATAAGAAAGATGATTATAGTATTGGAAACCTCGGGAGAGCTGTTAAATACGTTCTCAAGAAGGGGTTGTTGAAAGGAGGTCAGACGGTAAGTAGTAGATAATATATGTTTGTTCTATACGTATTTGTAATAAATGAGGTTGTCGACTATGACTTCATAAGAGAGAAACTGAATCAAGGTCTCGTAGTTATAGTTTTGAATATAACCGACGACTTATTCGACCTTAAAGAGGTAAGACAAAAATATTTTTTAATTAATTGTTTGTGAATAGATGCTTAAGATGCTCATTTTATAGGGTATTTGTCGCACCAAATGGATAGAAGCGGATACGGGAAGATGCAATATTCATGATGGTGTTACTGGTTGGTTCTGGAGAGATCCCGGAGGGGAAAAGATTTGTTCTCGCGCAAAATTCATGGGTGATTTTAATTTTGTAAGGATGAGTAAAATTGTGTTTAGTTGCGGAGCATATAAATTCAACTGCTTGTCTGCAGAAATACATTGAACAATTCGTAAGTAAATGACATTTATATACTATAGATATTGCATGTGTGTGATCCTCCTATGTATGTATTGTCAAGGGAACCGATATGCAATTCGACCATGTGGTGAGGCTGAATACACGCGGCGCAAACCTTGATATGAAATTCTACATCACATTCATGGCTAAGGATCCTTCCAATGAATCTCTTGTCGAGTTCCAACCTAAGACATAACGTGTGAGAAAAGATGACTTTTACCACCTTAACCATGAGGACCGCTCCATCTTCTGTAAATCAAAACTCATCAAGCAACAAAGTTATCTCTTTTCTTTAATTATGCCATCCAAAAATATAATGTATGTATATGAGAGTTTTGATTTGTGGTTTTACTGTTCAGTCTTGACAGAATTGGTGTATTCTTTCTGTGTTGCAGATTGAGAGTTCACTGACAAATAAGTGGGATTTGAGTGGAATTAATGTTATCATCGTTTATATATGCCTATTTATGAAAAATCTCAAAAACTATGTGATTCAGTTCACTTAAAAAAAATATTTTTTCATGTTCATTTTATATATGTAAAGTCATGTTTCATCTTGTTAGCGGCACATTAAACAAAAAAAAAGATGAAAAAAATGAAAAAACAAAATACAAAAAAATAACGGTATGGAAATCTGCAAAAAGTAAAACCCTGAAAGGTTAAACATTTCAGCATTCCTACCAAGTTTTTCCATACCGTCACTTTTCTACGTAATCTAAAATCAAAAGACATGGTGAACGCATCGTCTCACATAATGGAGAGGATAACAAAGTTGACTGCATTAAAATCGACTCTTGGTTCATTTGTTTTTCAGGT